CATGTGCTTGCCGGCCCTGGCGCCAGCCTTGGCCCCGGCCCCGGTCCCGGGGGTGCCGCGTGGAACCTGGGCAGCCCCTGCCCGGGATCGCAACACATGCCGGTGCCGGCCTTGGGCGTGCGGCGCATGCTTGGCCCCACCCCCAGTCACGTGGCCTGTGAGCGGCCCCGCCCCCGTACGCACAGCGCGTGAGCAGCCCCGCCCCCAGGTGCCCGGCAGCCCCAAAACATTGGGGACCACTGATTTATGACAAAGCTGCTCAACTTGAAGGGTACTAGCCCGATAACGTAGGAATTCACTGCATGTGTCAGCACACTCACCTACTAGCTAGTAACTGCTGTTATCTTCTGAAGTATTTACTACTGGCTGAAAAGTACCCTAAGGCTATGTCTACACCTGCGGCTTCTTGCGCGAGTAATATGAAAATGAGGCTAAGCGTGGAATATTGCCGAGCCTCATTTGCATACCTAATGAGCCACCTTCCTCCCCCCTGCCCGAAGAGGCTCTTGTGCAAGAAGGAGCATTTACACTGCCCCTTCTTGCGCAAGAAAAACCCTCTTGCGCAATGCCGTTACACGTATTACTTTTCAGGAACGGCATTGTGCAAGAAATACGTGAAACGGCATTGTGCAAGAGGGTTTTTCTAGCGCAAGAAGGGGCAGTGTAAATGCTCCTTCTTGCACAAGAGCCTCTTCTGAAAAGATGGTTGCTCATTAGGTACGCAAATGAGGCTCGGTGATATTCCACGCTTAGCCTCATTTGCATATTACTCGCGCAAGAAGCCGAAAGTGTAGACATAGCCTAAGTGTGTCCTGTACTTCAGCAAAATCTTGCTTCCCCTCCCCCCACATATGAATGTTTCCTAGCCCAGTGGATTACAGAGTTACATAGGGCTCCTATACAACTTCCAAACAATCTGCGGTCAGCAGGGACTGCTTGAAAGTAACAGAAATAAGGCAAAAGACAGTTGACCCAAAATAAAGGTAACATCAGTGCTTCAAAGGGTCAAAAAAAAAAAAAATCTCAGAAGTAGGTATGGTAAAGCCTGTCCTATACAAGGAAGCAAAGATCCAGATATCTTTAAATAAAAGTCAACCCCTTCTGAGTTCCAAACTCAGCCAAGAGCAGGGCACAGGAAAGACTGTACACATTAACTCCCAATACAGAAGTGCATGGGACAAGAGCACCTAACCATCCAACAATACTGTTGAAATTGATAAAATGCTGACAAATGCATAAAATTATAAAAACTAAAACGTTTAATAACCAACATATTTCTACGTGCAAAATCAACCACAGTCAGTGTTTAGATGTATAATATAAAAACCATTACAGAGACGAGAGCATACCTTCACTTAGGATACCGTATTCAGCATTGGCCACTTTCTCTAAAATGGATATAATGGAAATAGATGGTGTTTAGAAGCATGAAAAAAGCTTGCATATAAAAGACTGCAAATATTACATCTGTGTAGTCTGAAGAGGACACAAAGCAGAAAAATGCATTAAGAGACGGTGGACTGGGCATTTCTATTTACCTTCTCACACAAAAACAACTGGAATTTTTAATAAAATTTCAAGGCAACAAATTCTGAACCAAGAGAAAAATATATTTATATTAAAAAAATTGGCTTATGGAACTCATCTTATTAGGATTCTGAGTAGTACTTGACAATTATACAGATGAGAATATCAAGTTAAATCAGGATACTCTCTCTAAAAAGCCATGTTATTACTACTAATACATCATTGTTGTGTGTTAGTATTTTCATTTTAGTAGAAACATTCAAGTGTACACTGGGATGTTTAAAGAAAAAGTGTTTTCCACATAGAAGGTTGTTACTGTTAACATGAATTCACACAAATGGCAACAATTTATAATGAATCCCAGGAAAGGAAGAGATTTGAGGCTTATCTATTCCAACGGGAGGATGAACTCCAGTAGAAGAAGCTAGGAAACAAACTACAATAAAGCATGTCTTTGGCAACCAACAAATACAACTAATCTTTACCTAAAAGGATAAAGCACACACTTACACTAGAAAGAGTGGGAACACTTTTTTGATGAGACCTAAGCAGAATTTCTCTGCTCTTTAAGAGTAGCTACAATGTGGACACAGTGCACTAATATAAAAAGCAACTTAGACTAGTACAGCTTACTTCAGACCAAGCTGTACCAATGACAAAGAAAAACAATTTTTTTAGCAGAAGGTGCTGCAGGACTCCTTGGTGGTTTTGCAGAAACCAACTAACACAGCTACCCCTCTTACATAGCCATTGGTTTTCTTATCCTTTGGTTCCCATCCCCAGATACCCTATTTGAATTAGAGGAACCAGTAAGTGTAGGTTTCACGAACATACAAAGACCCCAATAGTTCTACAGACATATGTTGTGTGTTTTTTGCTTTCACAAGGG